AAAAGTACGATAACTATATTTCTCGTGCTATGTTCGTGGTCTGGTTTATTTTGTTTTGTTAGGATTAGTATATTTTCATTTTTCTTGTTTGATATTCGAGACATAAGAATAATGAAAAGTGATCATAGGTCAGGTCCCACAACGACAACATGGTCGTCTCAATTTCACACTTGGCAAGATTGGTCACTGAGTCATCGGGCGGCCAATCTTGGCTGTATGTAATGACTCGTTTTATCTTTTACCTTAAACTTATATGCTACTTATTTTATCCATTTGATATTATCTACATGGTTTATAACTAACATGATCAATGAATCTATTTAAGTATCTTGGGCCTATAAGCCGACGATGCAATTAAAGCCCAAAAAGGCTCACGTTTACTCAGTCTGGTGACGTTTGAACCAGTCCACGTGTCCTCCGTCTCCTCTCGCCACCTGTAACCACCGCCTTGTTTAGCTCTGTGTTCAAATCCTCTCGTTCTCGTTCTCTGTGAGACTGCTTGGTTTGCGATTGGTCTGTTGAAGATTCGACATCAACGAAAAAGCGACTCGAGAGGTATCTGCGAGCAATGGGTTTTGGGATAACGGAGTTATTGACGATACACTTAGCCGCGGAGCATCCTCAGGTGGTGCCAATCTCGTTGTTCATCGTCATTCTCTGCCTCTGCTTGATTATTGGTCACTTGCTTGAAGAGAATCGTTGGGTCAATGAATCCATCACCGCCATTTTAGTCGTAAGTTGCTTCCACTTTAGGGATTCTGTTTCGAGAGAGTTTTAGAATCAGTAAAACATCTATATTTATCGCAGAATCTCTTAGCCTGGAGAAAGAAAAAAACTTGGTATAGGTTTGGTTTAGGGTTTCTTGGGACGCAGGAAATTAAATACACCTAATACGTGACACTGACCATACATAATTTTGGTTCTGGTAGATATTATAATTTTTCTGTTCTTGAGACCAATTTTTGTCACTATTTGATTGTTCTATTGAAAGCAGGGAGCAGTATCAGGAACGGTTATCTTGCTTATTAGCAAAGGGAAGAGTTCTCACATTTTGGTGTTTGATGAGGAACTCTTCTTCATATACCTTCTTCCTCCGATTATTTTCAATGCTGGGTAAGCGGTAACCATGTTGTGTCGATGGAGCTAGAGTTTGATGCTATCATGGAGACTGAGTTAGGATTTTTGGTTTGTTGGCAGATTCCAGGTCAAGAAAAAGAAGTTCTTTCACAACTTTTTAACCATTATGTCCTTTGGGGTGATTGGAGTTTTCATCTCCACTTTCATTATTTCGTTTGGTAAATTTTTTCTTACAGCAATCAATCCTGGTTTTGACTTGGCCGTGATTCGAAGTTAATTGTATCTGAGTCGATGCAATCTCATTTTTTTCTTTTATAAACCTGAGCCAGGCAGTTGGTGGCTGTTTTCCAAGCTGGGATTTAAGGGATTGAGTGCTCGAGACTATCTTGGTAAGGTTTCTTATAACTTCTTTTATCATCAAACTATGTATCTTTTCATCTCTTGTTTAGACTATTTTGCTGTCAGTTTGCGAGTGAATGTTTTCTTGTCTTGATTCAGCTATCGGAACGATTTTCTCATCAACTGATACTGTTTGCACTCTACAGGTTTCTTGCTTTATACGATTATTTGTCCTGCGATTTCCTTCTTATAAACCTTGTTTATATAATAAGCTTCCTAATTACTTTGCATCTAAAATTTAAAGATTCTCCACCAAGATGAAACTCCATTGCTATACAGCTTAGTCTTTGGAGAAGGGGTGGTGAATGATGCAACCTCAGTTGTGCTGTTCAACGCCGTGCAAAAGATTCACTTTGAAAGCCTCAACGGTTGGACGGCTCTGCAAGTATTTGGAAACTTTTTGTACCTCTTCTCCACAAGCACAATTCTCGGAATTGCTGTAAGTTATAAAGTTAGCATACACTTTTACTCTAATTGTGAAGCATATCGTGAGTTCTCTTAGCAGCGTGAATGTCTTGCAGGTGGGTCTGATAACGTCTTTCGTCCTTAAAACTTTGTATTTTGGAAGGTAAAAGTACACCAAACTTGCATCTTTTTCATCTCAACCTTAACTTTATTGTTTTCAATGTTTCAATTGCATCCTTTAGATGTGCCTTTAAATTTGGTCTTGGTAATGATATGGTTTTTGACAGACACTCAACTACACGCGAACTCGCGATCATGGTTCTAATGGCATACCTTTCATATATGTTGGCTGAGGTAATAATACTCATCATAGACTTGTCTCCTACTTGAAAGAGTTCATGCAAAATATAAATGCAGCATTTCTCTGTTTTAACTCAATGTAGTTGATCTCTTGCAGCTCTTCTCATTAAGTGGGATCCTCACTGTTTTCTTCTGCGGCGTTTTAATGTCGCATTATGCATCGTATAACGTGACAGAGAGCTCTAGAATCACTTCCAGGCATTGTTTCTGTCAGCTATTTTTGTCTCTCAAGTGTCAATTGCGGGAAATGCTTTTGTCTGACTGTCCATCACTATTCTGCAGGCATGTGTTTGCGATGATGTCCTTCATTGCGGAGACATTCATATTTCTATATGTTGGAACAGATGCTCTTGATCTTACGAAGTGGAAAACAAGCAGCTTAAGGTATGAAGTCGTATCTGAACATCTGGTAGAGCGTTAAGCGCATTCCATCAAAGCGAATACACAGCATTATGTCCATCTCTGCAATGGAATCGACTAGCAAAGCTAGAATCAAAGGATTTTTCCTAAATAAAATCACCAATAGTCACCAATCTTTTGAATCCTCTATATTTTCTACTTTCTTGACTCGGCCTAGCTCGCTAATCAGCTGCTAGTTAAGCCGGGGTGGTGAAATGCAGTTGCTGAAGTCTCTACTTCTTTTTGCAGCGTTGGGGGTACATTGGGTGTCTCCAGTGTCATAACATTACTAGTATCGCTTGGACGAGCAGCTTTTGTGTTTCCACTCTCCGTCTTAACAAATTTCATGAATAGACACACTGAAAGAAGCGAGACTATCACATTTAAGCACCAGGTTTAGCCTTTGCTTTTTCAGTTACATTATCAGAAGCACTACATCTCGACTCAAAATCCCAAAGTTATTGGTTGAAATTGCAAATTGTTTTCGTAAAGTTCAACTCTGTGTACTTTATAGGTGATCATTTGGTGGGCGGGGCTTATGCGAGGTGCTGTCTCAATTGCTCTGGCTTTCAAACAGGTTTTGCTCTATGGTAATGCTTTGTATTCAGTTCATAATATTTCCGTTATATCTCATTTGGGTATATGTTTGATGTGTCCAAGTTCACGTACTCCGGTGTTACATTGGATCCTGTGAATGCTGCAATGGTCACCAACACCATTGTCGTTGTCCTCTTTACTACAATGGTAAAACAAACACTACTTCCTTAGTATATAGCCCTGCCTGTAGTTTTCTGTGTTAAGATCAAAAGACTGTCTTCTTTTCATGTAACAAAACAGGTCTTTGGTTTTCTCACAAAGCCACTTGTGAACTATCTGCTTCCTCATGACGCGAGCCACAACACTGGAAACAGTGATAAACGTACTGAACCAGGTTCCCCAAGGGAAGATGCGACGCTTCCTCTTCTTTCTTTTGACGAGTCTGCTTCCACCAACTTCAACAGAGCTAAAGATAGCATCTCTCTTCTGATGGAACAACCTGTTTACACCATCCACCGCTACTGGAGAAAGTTCGATGATACATACATGAGGCCTATCTTCGGTGGACCTCGTCGAGAAAATCAACCAGAATGCTAGGTACTTATACCCTCGATTATTATCACAAGTTACTACTCAGATTTTAAAGCCAGAATTGTGAATTATGTATTCATCATGATAAGCGAACAAATTTTTTTTTTTGGTGCAGCCTTTGATTTGAGGTTCTTCGCGGGGAAGACGAGGAGTTAGTTTTTTTGGATAGTCAAGAAAGTAGAATAGTTGATGTAGCTAAAAGTAGTATTTTAACGTCTTCCTTAATGTATAAAACATGGTTCTTCTATATACACAAGAGGATCAAAGATCATTGCAAGTTTGTGATATATTTGAATCAGAAGATATATCTTAATTCAGACACTCAAGGTCAGTTACAGGGCAAGACCGATCAAAGTCTGCGGTGTTGTGGTTTGTCTCCAGATCAGTTCTTCAAAGCTGATCATTAGAGAAAGAACAGCAAAATAAACGTTAGACTTTCTTTCGTTATTTAATATCTGAATCTTACTAATTCACTAGTTTCCAATATTTTTATGGTATTTGATGTTACCTTGGCAAGCAGGAGGGATTGTTGTACTGCCACATTTGCTCAGAAGAGCCTGGACTTTAGATGGGTCAATCGCTAAAACAGGGAGATAGGACTTGAGTCTGCATATGCATTCCAGATTAGCGGCTCGAAGGACTAAGCAGCATTCGTTGCCTGGAGGCGGTGGGTTGTTTCCAGTGACGGCTGGACGACATTTCTCCAAACTGTTTGTGTCGGTGTTACATACGGGAATGGTCGTAGGTTCTTCCGTCAACACCAGGGCGGCTAAAACAATCGCAAGAGCGGGCATATTTCAAAAGGGTTCTGGTATTGTTCTTATCCATTCTTGCTTTATCTTCCTCTCTCTTGATTCATCCATGGAACCTTTAACATCTAATGAGCTTTTTATAACAAGTTAATGCTAAGTGGAAGCTAGAAAGAGCGTGTGATGTGGTTCATTGACTCTCTCTAAGTCTTTGAGTTGAAATGTCTGCAAATTGCAACGGACAAATGAGGGAGAGTGGGAGACTAAGACTTGTGGTATTTATTACCTTATTTTTTTTATATTTTCGTAAATTAAAATTTAGTAAAAATGTAATAAGATTGATTGTTATGATTTTGTAATTATTTTGATGAATAATTACACTCTGTTTAAGACAATAACGTGTTAAAAACTCGTTTTGATCGTTTTATGTTCTTGGCTTAAAAAACATTTAAACCAGAACATGCAAATTCTTAGAGTCCATATATAGGGTAAAACTCCATAAGATTTTCTTTTCATTTAGTTGGCTTCTCACGGTTTTCTTCTTTGTGGTTTTAGGGTAATGAAGTCAGTATATACTACGTGATTGTTTTAGGATATCACGTAGCGCACTTTGGGCGGTCTGCCAAAACGATACTTAAACATTATGTTAGGAGCCTCATTTATCTATCACTTCGATGGAATTGAGCTAGAGAATTGCAACCAATTTCCCAATAACCAATCTTTGAATCCGCTCTGTTTATTCTACTTCTTTGACTCTAATTAACTTGCTAATTACCATTCGGTTTCTGAAAATTTCTCTATATTGTTTGTTTGCAGCGTTACGATTTGGGTTCTTCGCAGGGAAGAGGTATGCAGAGGCAGTTTTCAGATAGTCAAGAAAGTAGAAAACAATATGTTTAGGAAGCCGGTACTTTATTGATTTCATTAATTGATAGAACATGGTTCTTCAATATAGATAAGGTAGCTGAAAATAATTGCAAAGTTAGGTGATTTATTCGAATCAAAACACCAAAAAGACATATATTATATAACTTAAAGAGGCTTTTCAGGTCGAGGCAAAGTCTGCGGCAGACCAGCTTGTCTCCAGCTCAGTTTTTCTATCTGCATGTTACAGTCAGAAAGAACGTTAAAACAAACGTAAATGTTACAGTAAGGACAAATCCTCTCTAGTGATTCACTACGTGAATCCTAAAAGAGGTGATAACAAGTCTAGAAGCTGGTATGAAGATAAGAAATCCACCTCGAAGGATTTGTATCGATGGATGATAATGATATGATCAAGAGAGTTTAGAGATTGAAGAAGAAGATAATATTGTTTTGATTGATTGTTTTCCCCAAATGGCAACACCATTACATATATCGTCATCTCACTAGCAAAGATAATTGAACCGGGCAAAACCAAATAGATTAATGACTTAAACCAGAACTTGAACCGGCTTGGGATATATTTCTGTAACAGTAAAATTTTCCTCTCTTTACATAACGTAGAGCAAAATTAGGGGTGGCCCTATTATCCGAATC